CAACAATCAACTAATAAAAGACAATATTCCCAGCCCACATAAAAAGATTCTCGTGTTCGGAAAGAAGAAAAAAATGAAAAGATGGGCAAAATAAATAATTTCACATGAGATATTATAACTTCTTCCTGTTGCCATTAATGAGCAATTTATAATCGAAATTATGTTCTTCACCTCACACTCTTACAAGTCACGTTCAATGATTGATATATACCTCAACACCTCCTTATTGGTCCCTGCTAAAGTGTACAACAATTAAAATATTATGGTAAACTTTTTTTTTTACATATTTAATACATATACTTCATTTCTTACACATATACCACTCATATCTTCCATATTATAAGTATGATGATATATAAATATATTTATATGTGCATACATACTTAGGAATTGTGTGTAAATCTTTCTTTCATGCCTAAGCAAGAAAAAGATGGATGGTTAGAAAAAGAAAGGAGGAACTTCGGCCATAGGACAGATTTTTAATTTATTTTTTAACTTTATATAATTATATAATTTGTAGGTATTGAATTGAAAGAGAGTTCAAAACGTGCAGGCCTAAAACATTGATTAAAACATTGGTCGATCCCCATTACTACACACTTGCACAAAAAAATGTGAGCTTCTACATTGATAAAACTTTTAAAACCAACATGAATTTACGTGCATTGTCGGGTCCAATAAACGCTAAGAATTAAATATAATAAGCTTTGATTGTAATATTATAAGTTTTGCAAATTTCAAATTTTGATCAAAGTTATAAGCATGGAAGCATTTATGAGACCTGAATTGGTCGAAGCGGGTTGACCCAAATTGGTTTAGATCATCTAGAGCACACATTTTATATATGTGTGTGCCGCCCCGAGCACATTTGGACTCTAACGGGTTCAACACGACCCTCTTCGGATTTCTCTTAGGTTGCCAAGAAGAGTTTCCCTCCACCTTTGGTTGGTGATGAAGTGTTCTACAATGGTCATAATTTATCAAGAAAGTTTGAAGATTAAAACTTTTCAAAAATCATTACTACATTTACAAACCACAAAATCACAAATCATTGAAGGTGATGGGTTGCTTTTATGCTAGAATTAAGACATTGCACAAAAAAATTGATAAGAGTACAATTGTCAATTATTTTAGGGGCCATGGTAAACATTGGATTGAAATTGTATCGGTATTACATATGACTACTGCACCCTTTGGCTTGTAAAGCATAAGTTGTGTTGGTTTGCTCTTATCAAGAAAAATACATATATATACCAAGGTCTTAAGCTATCATTATTGCTTTAGGCAATGACAAAATCTGATTTTACTCAAAATTATTCGAGGCATTCATATCATTGAATTTTTTATCCATTAACTTCAAATAACTTGAAGTGTTGAGAGGTTCGAACCAACGCCTCATCAACACAAGGCACCATTGATGACAACCACCTTCGCTGCTCTTAGACCATATAACTTGCCTTAGCTTACTTATTGTTTGGATCATTCACTTACTTTTTAAAATGAAAACATAATGATCTAAGTAATTGATACGACTCGAAATGAAATACAACGTACAAATAGTGGATAAATTGCTATAGAAATGCGGGGGAACTCAATTGAGGGATTACTTTACTAATACAAATGAAAGTAAACAAGATACAATGTAGATTTATTATTTGAGAGGTAGATTGCCTCTCCACAAACCCTAGA